TATCTTGGTGTAAAAATAGATTCACATTTAAGATGGACCTCACACTTATCGGACGTAGCTAAAACTTTAAGGTTTTTATTATATAAATTTAAATATATAAGAACAATACTAAACTTACTACATCTAAAAACGATTTACCATGCACTTGTGGAATCGCGTCTCAGATATGCCATCATAAATTGGGAAGGTACTTTGCCAAGTCATCTAGAATAGGTCGAAATCCTACAACAAAAAATTTTAAAAATTATGTATTGTAAAAATCTAAAATTTAACACTAATGTAATGTCTTTGAGGCAGCTGTATCTTTTTAGTCTAATCATTCATTTATTTCAAAACCGCACTTACCTGCAAACACCTGGCCATCAATATCGTACTAGAACTAAAACAAAAGATTATATACAGACAAATACTGCTAAAAAAACTATAGGTAAAATATATTTCGATTTTGTAGCACCCCGCTCAACTAATCTCCTAAAATCGATTTTTATAACTTATATCTAAAGAAATAGATAAAATAATTAAAAATGAGAAAAAAAAAAACAAAATAAATATTGTTAAAAAATTAATTTTTTAAAATCAAAATAAAATGTAAAAAAATCATATTAAAAATTATGTAAAATAGTTTGAAGTCTAGCGTAGAAAAAAATGTATATTGTATTGTATTATATTTTTGAGTCATCCGTGTACCTTTATGGTCTTAATGGATTACAAAAAAAAAAAAAAAAATATTGTTAAAAAAATTATTTTTTTAAAATCAAAATAAAATAAATGTAAAAAAATCATATTAAAAATTACATACTGGCTAACCGACCGCCGGGGTGCTTGCATTTGTTGAAAAGAAAACCGTCTTCCGGCGGCATGGTCTTCTCACATACAGTATGTCGCTAATGTATGGAATAAATTCATTATTTCTAAAATAATCGACTTTTGAAAAAAATCCAAAAACAGGTCAATTTTAATTTTTGAATCGTCATCAAATGATGTAGATGTAACGAACATTACGTCACCAGTATTACCGTGGTGACGTAATCGGCAATTTTTTTAAATGCAACCATGTGTCTCAAAACACCTCATTGGAAAGGTCTTCTAATCGTCTTTACAACGATGTAATTATTTGAATATTTATTTCTACAGGGTCGACCAAAACTGTTTATTTACTAAAATACATAAAACTGTTTAGTAAAAAACAATTAAATTATATTAAATGTTCAAACTGATGACCTTCAGCAATAATGCAATGAGACAGCCGAGCAGTAAATTCGTCTCTAACGTTTACGAGAACTTCAGGCGTTATTTGTGCAATCTCCGTTCTGATGCGATCCTTCAACTCTTCTATATCATTTGGGCGACTTTGATAAACTTTGCTCTTCAAGTATCCCCATAAAAAAAAGTCTAAGGGTGTCAAATCTGGCGACCTTGGTGGCCATTCGATCGTTCCTCTTCTTCCTATCCACCTATCTGGAAAAACAGCATTTAAGTAGGTTCGTACATCAAAGGCGTAATGTGGGGGTGCCCCATCCTGTTGAAACCACAAATCACATCTATTTGGAAATAGTTGATTTAATTGTGGTAATAGATAATCCTGAAGAAATTGAAGATATCGAGGACCGGTCAAGTTTCCTTCAAAAAAATATGGCCCTATTATTTGATTATTTATAATGCCGGCCCAAACATTCACCTTTTCAGGATATTGTGTCGTATACTCCTGCATCCAATGGGGATTTTCACTTGCCCAGTATCGATATGTCTGGCGGTTTACATGGCCGTTGAGCATAAAAGTTGCTTCATCCAAAAAAAGTATATTTTTTATGAAATTACGATCTTTGTTAGATCGTTCCATAATTGTTTCACAGAATTCAATTCTCCTATCAAAGTCATCTTCTAACAGCTCTTGGACCAAATGTACCTTATACGCATGCCACTTCTCCTTTTTCAGTACTCTAGCAACAGTAGAATGGTGTAAATTATTATCCAGCGCAACTTGTCTCGTGCTGGTGTGGGGTCTTTCTTGAAAGTCTAGTAAAACGTTAACTTTTTTGTCTTCGGAAATTGACTTTCTACCACTTTTGGGGAGATCTTTAACATGGCCCGTTTCTCGAAACTTTTTCTCGATTTTACTAATTGTTGATTGAGAAATGGGTTCACGATTGGGGTATTTAGCATTAAATAAATTGCCAACTTCTCTCTGTGTCCTTACTCTATCTCCATAGCCAATCATCATTAATATTTCGATTCGTTCAGTTTCTGTAAGCTTCATTACTAAATTATGCTAATTTAAAGATTTTAACTATTGAACACTTGACTGATACACATCAATTAGTGTTAAATTAGAATTTAGTACTATTATCAGTAACATATCCAAAATGCAGAAATATTTTTTGGGTACACTACGATGTTTTATTTCCAGTGGCGGTCCTTACAATAACTTAGTTCAGTGAATCAGAATTTATGATTAAGATTTTAGTAAATAAACAGTTTTGGTCGACCCTGTAGAAATAAATATTCAAATAATTACATCGTTGTAAAGACGATTAGAAGACCTTTCCAATGAGGTGTTTTGAGACACATGGTTGCATTTAAAAAAATTGCCGATTACGTCACCACGGTAATATTGGTGACGTAATGTTCGTTACATCTACATCATGTGATGACGATTCAAAAATTAAAATTGACCTGTTTTTGGATTTTTTTCAAAAGTCGATTATTTTAGAAATAATGAATTTATTCCATACATTAGCGACATACTGTATAAGAAAGTCGCCGCAAATCTAAACTGATTTGTTGAACAGGGCGGCATGCTATCAGGAAATTGAAAAATGCCGCTGGACGACGATCTACTGTATTTAAAACATTGAATGCCGGTGGTAAGAAAAAATACTTGTAAAATCGTCTACATTTTTGTGGAAAATGATCATATGTCGTACGCGTTTTATTTGTACATCGGTCTCCTTTTGGCAAAGTAGATGAGCTATGTCCAGGCCGTTGGTGTTTATGCCGGTCGGCGTAGCCAGGGATGGATTGAAATTTTATGGTGGCGGCGAAGCCGCCACCCTACGATAAGTCGTTGCTTCGTCTTCTTGTTGTTACGGCATTATTATTTGTTCATGTATGTGAAATTTGCTTCTAAGGTTTATAAAATACTACTGCTAGTCACGGCGTAAATGAAAACAAACAAGACGCATTCACACAAACACCTCCCACCACAGCAATTACAAATGATTAGTGTTGTCACCGATACACAACTTTTTTCCGGCGGCATTTAATGTTTTAAATACAGTAGACCGTCGTCCGGTGGCTTTATCAATACTCTGATAGCCTGCCGCCCTCATCAACAAATCAGTTTAGATTTTCGGCGGCTTTCTTATATGTGAGAAGACCATGCCGCCGGAAGACGGTTTTCGTTTTATTAAATTCAACTACCGCCGGCGGTCGGCTAGCCAGTACGTAAAAATTATGTATAATAGTTTTAAGTCTAGCGTAGAAAAAATTGTATATTGTATTATATTATATTTTTGAGTCATCCGTGTACCTTTATGGTCTTAATGGATTACACTGACGAAAATTCTTAAATTGATTGTCATGTATTCTGTATTTGAACAGTATGTTCTGTTTAAAAAAATGAAAATTATATAAACTGCAATCGTGAAATACTCGTATATTATTACTTTTGTTTTTAATCATTAGTTATTTGATTGAATGTACTCTCCTATATATTACAGTGTGTTAGAAAATTCACCTATGTATTTTGTATTTATTTTTCATGAATAAACATATTAAAAATTTAAAATAAGAATATGTTTGAATACATTCACAGCACTTTATCGTTTGTTTTTTCATTATTTTAATTTAATGATATATGTGAAATGATTTAAATATTATATTTTTTATAGTTATTTAAATATTTATATTTCTAAAATTATGTTTTGTACTATGTTATAGCCATTATATTGTACTTATTTGTATATTAGGATTCCTATTTCATTAAAGTTATTATTGACATCCACAAATCAAAATTATTTCCATGAAATTTTTTGCGTTATCTCAAAAATTGTTAAGTTTGATATTTATGACTTGCAAGGGAAGTGAATTGTATATTTTTGGTGCAACAGTTGTTACAACTCTTTGGCCAGTATCTCTATTAACAAATGGAGTTTTATGTGCAATATATTCATGTGATTGTAGTTAATTTTAGGCTGGGATATTTGTAATAAAAAATACATATCATGTGAATATTTAATAATCTAGCATTTTAAAAAAGATACCTAATTAATAAATCAGGCGAAACTATTGACGCACCTAATAATCTTATCTATTTTTTTTGTTGTTTATTAGATGCAAAGTTCTAAATTTATAGAAAAAATAAAATTACTTATTAATTAATAATCTCAACGTTTATTTTGATACCATAGGTCTAATCCTAAGTTTTAACTTTAGATAAAATAAATCATTTTTGCGTCGAAGGTTACCAAAAACATATATCATAAAACATTGATATGCAAATCAAAAAGTAATTAAGCGAATATAAATACTCAGAATCTGCACCACAAAACTGTTTTTTTGTAATAAATGAAAGGCCAATGGCTTAGGGTTATCATCTTTACTAAAAGGAAGAGTAGCATTTGATATTTGGGAGAATAGTATAATTAATTACATTCTTTAACAAAAATTTGGCCTCATTGATTGGAGAGTTCTAAAAGATTCATAGCCATATGAAAATTAACAGTAGGTCTCTAACAGGGATAATGAAATATAAAAAATACATTATTGGATTGAGAAAAAAATAGTTCCCCTTGTTTAACTAATCTCTCTATATTTTTTCCTGATTATTTCGGTACTCTGTATCAATTTTAATGTTCCCTTTCATAAAAAAATTATGACATTACACGATATAAAATGAGGAATCGAAAATTATAATATGAATCCTTATTAATCTTGCTCAATATGTGTAATGTATACAATTTGTTTTTTTTTCCTATGGAATTTATGTATTTTAATTTCAGTATTTTCTAAAGGCCAGTGCCAAACTGGCCAGTACCGTTTCCTGGCTAAATCCGGAGGTTATGTATGGTTGATCACTCAAGCTACTTTAATCCTCGACAAAAATCAGAAACCCCAGAGCGTCGTGTGCGTCAACTACATCATCAGGTAACAATATTTATATTCATTTGCACAAATAAAACAAAAATGGAAATTAATGTGTTTGACACAGTCTAAGTCAAATATTCTTTTATAAAATGCGTTTTTTTTACTACTAACATGAGAAATCACCATTATTTACTCCATTCCTCTAATGAGAAGTAATATTTCTCTCCCTAGGTAAATAATGATAATAAAAAAAAACCTAGGTAAATAATGAAACTAAATTTCATTAGTTTCATTTTGTTAATTTGACAACTAAACTCCCAGACTACTTGATATTTTGAAATATTTGAAAAATAAGTAGGAAATAACTAAAGCTGGGTTTATTAAAATCTAATCAAATCAAATATGATAATATATATCAGTGTTAATAGTAAAAATATATATTAACTAGGAAATTCAACACCGGCTTTAAAAATTATTAATTAATAACAATAAATCCATGTCATTAAAATATCAAAAATGCAATGGGATATTTCCTAGAATCATACCAAAATTTGACACATGCCAAATTTTTACATAAATAAAGCCAGTCTGATTAGAAACACGCTCCAGTCTGCTTGATATTTCGAAATATTTAACAAATTGTTAGGAAATTACTTATGTCAAAATTAAAATTGCTAATACATTAATGTTAGTAGTAAAAAAAATTCTATATATACCTCGGCTGAGAAAGCTATTATTTACCTCGCACATTATATCCCTCGGCGCTACGCGCCTCAGGATATAAAAGTGCTCGGTAAATAATAGCTCACTTCTCACCCTAGGTATATAATGTACTATTTTACTTTATCATTATCGTATTAGTACGTTAAAATGCCCATTATTCGCTATCCAAAATAAGCTTTTTCGAGATTATTCATAGAAATGTGATGTAACTTGATGTATTTTGATATTAAAAATACCAAATAATAAAATAAATAAACTTTAATTCAAATATTGCTTGTTATAGTCTGGAAATGTTCTGATATTATATCTGTAAATATTCTTTTATGTTTTACTTATATTATTACTCAATATTTTTTTTAATATTAACTGTTGTATTATTGTTGTTTTTAATAATATAAAATAAATAAAACTAGCTTACAAAAAAAAAAATGAAAATATTGCCCATTGTTTTCCTTTTGTGGGTATTTTCATTTACCATTTGAAATTTGTTATTTGAATTGAACTATATATTAATAAATAATAAAAGTAAATTTTATTATTTACTAAATATTATTATTTGTGTCTATCCAACACATTTATTTCCATTTTCCTATTGCTAAATATTGGCGTTAATTAATTGATAACTAAGATAATGAAATTTAAAATGTCCTATATTTTAGGATAATAAAATTATAAAATTTTGTTTGAATGTTTGAGTCATGGTATAGCAATTTTATAGAATCGACCAAAAGCGAAATCAGAAATTAAACGACAAATTTTCGCAAATATTAATATACTCTGACGCGAAAGCCGTCTCTGCTCCTTGTTTACTCCTTGCCCGCGGTATGAAGTCTAGTGCTGACCATATAGAGACAAACACACCGCTTCGAGAAGCTACCGGATAGATCCCTTTGCGGCGTATGAGTCATAGAAAGGCAGTTTTCGATCGTTCTGGAAAGCCGAGAGAGTTCTGGTACAGAGCTGGCTTTATATAAATAGCGCGAGTTTGTCGACGGAAAAGAAGATTCAATTTAAATGCTGTATAGAAAAGTGTGGGATCTTTTAACTTTGGGGATCCCATCTTGTAAATAAAACAGCAGTTTGTAAGAGGGTGTATATGAATATAATAAAATAGGTAATTCCATCATGACAGAAAAATATATAATATTGACATTTTTTGTGTACATAAATATTAATGCTTGGCAACCGATGTCATCAAGTAGATAAGCTGCCTCAAAAGGTAAGATTGATAAGTGTGACATGTATATCAATATAATATGAGTTGGAGTTAGTATGTAGTGCTTCCAAGGCACTACAAAAAGATATTTTGTAATAAATAAATTAGAATTTTGAGTTATAATAGTGCCTAAGTATTATATAAATTAATTAGTACGTTATAAATAAATTCTAAATAAAGTGTTTTAAATAAATAAACTATAAATAAATTAAACAGTCGTTACATTGGTGTTAGAAGTGGAACTGTAAATAAATAGTGGACAATAATGGCTAAAAAACTGATTTAAAAGTGACGGAGTTACGTCGGGAATTTGAAGATCGTGAACTGGAGACGACAGGGAAGAAATCAGAGCTGTCAGAACGGCTTAAAGAAGCACTAGAAAATGAAGATTTGGATTAGGAACGTATTTATTTTCTGATGATTCATATTCTGCTATAATTTCTTCAATTTCTCGTTAGAAAGTGAAATGTCAGCTATGAAAACCGATATTTCTTCTTTAGATAATAAAGTTTCTTCCATGGAAAATAACGTTTCTTCAGTGCTTCCTCCATAAAAAATGTTATTTCTTAGAAAATAAATAAAATGTCTGATTTCTTCCCTAGAAGAAAAGGAGACTTCAGATATGTCTTCTATGAAAACTGAAATTACTGCTGATGTTTCTTCTATAAAAAAATGATATTTCCTTCTTGGAAGGAAAAGTGTTTGCTGAAATATCTTCTATGGAAATTAAAGTCTCCTTTGATATCTCTTTTATAAGAAATTAAATTTTTTCCGTCGAGGAGAAAATAATGTCTTCTCTAGAGGAGAAAATAAAAGAAATGGAAAAGAAGATAGGAGAACTGAAACATTCAGAACCGGCCAAGGACGGTGAAATAAAGTGCCATGAGGTCGAGTCGAAGTTGAAATTGGAAGGAGCTGTAAATTCTGCTCGTGTTAAAGCCCCAACTTTCGACGGAAAGATATCATGGACCAACTACCTTGAACAGATCGAAACAGCTGCCAGAGCAAACGAATGGTCTGAAGGGAAGGCAGTAAATTTGACCATCGCCTTTCGAGTAGATGCTTTAGATGTCCTTTAGACTATACGCGTGGGATAGATGATTTTGAGCAACTCAAAAAGACACTAAATATGCGAACACTTGTAACATTTATACCAGTCACAGTTAAAGAATTGCAAACAGAAACGAGACGAGACTCTTCAAAAATATGAAGTAGATATTGCCACGATGGTGTGATTTGTCTACCCATCAGCTCCGGAACACATGATTGAATGTTTGACTGTTCAAGCATTTGTTGATGGACTTCGTGATCATGAAATGCAAAGAACACTTCGTTTATACATTGGACCAATTATTTCACATGATAAAAAGAAGATTCAATTTAAGTGCTGTATGGAAAAGATATAGTGTAATAAATAAATTAGAAATTTGAGTTATAAATGCGCCTAAGTATTATATGAAGGGTACAGGGAAAAAACAGACATGTCATTTCACTTACATAACGAATAAATACAATTTTAATCTTTAAAACTAAATATTTTTATTTAAAAATGTTATATAAACATGTTGCTTACACAAAACTGAATTTACATTATTACAAAATAATATAATTACATTCCTTGCCCTTAAAAAAACTGGTGGCGAATTTATTGCACAAAGTAGCCTAGCAGTCAGTGTTTTGCAGGGAAAAAAGCAGCCATGTCATCTGAAGAAAAAAAAACAGTCGTCATATTTTATTTTTATACCAGGAAAGAAAGTTTAATGAGTGTAGTTACTATTTATTTTTTGTTGACGTTTGAAAGTTATACATCAACAATCAACATATAAATAATTTGAACTTACTAGTAAAAAATTTCACCGCTCTTGGACTGCAAAACCGCATAAGGCTCATAAAGTCTTCTAACTTGGCCTTTGAAATTGGTAGAAGACCTGTAAAAAAGTTATTAAATCTCATTTTTTAGGTTAAACCTTTCATATAACTTACCATCGTATGCTGGAGCAGGCAGTACAAATTCTCCATTTCTTACACATGCGTTTGTGTCAAACGGAGTTATGATGGACAAGTAATGTTACTTTTAACAGATACGTTATCTGTGAACCGCTTGTTATTTCTGTGTGTTTATAAAATAACATACCTGTTAAAAATAACACAGGTTGTCAATCATAACCCCCAAAGCGTTTTCTTATTATTCTGGTTATTAGTGGCCCATTGTATGTTGAACGGTGTTTGATGAGATGGCTATGGTCAGATGTTGCCACGATTTCCTTCACGGGCATTTTTGTAAATATATTGTATCTAAGATCATGCCTTGTGATACACTTATTACGATAAACGGCGATGGCTTTCAGCGGGAATTTTTAATACCTTCCTCAAACTCTTCTGGGGTCTCAAAAGGACTTTTCAAATCCCACAATCCTACATTTTTGTCACACTCCAAGTAGGAGTATCCTCTGACAGGGAATGTGATATTTATTTCTTTCAAGGCATGAATTCTGTTATTTACAATAAAATGGATAAAACGAAAAATGGTAAAATTTTTATTTTGTCCTCCGGCAGAGTCGCAGAAGATTTACAGTTCTTCAATATCGTCTTCTAAGTATTGAGTAAATGAAAAAGAAAAGAAGCAACTTCGTTGGATCCTTTTTTTGGCGATTCCTTCATGATAGATATAAAATATCGACTGACCAGAAGAGACATGTACGTTAAAGGCATACATAGACAATTGCCGTTTATAGTGCACGTCGTTAGTGGCAATTTTTGGAATTGAAATATTTTTTGCAAAGACAACGCAGATGGCTTCCTTTTTGTTACTTTTTTTGCAATTCTTTTGGCTTCCTTTTTTTTAATAGAACGCTTCGGCCTTTCTCTTATGTAAATCATTCATTTCTGTTAATTTTCTATTCTCATCTGCATCCTTTTCAGCAGACAAGCTTTTAACCTTAATTTGAAATTCGTCACACGTTGCACATGTGTCAGTCCGGGGGTATTCAGACGAAATATTAAATTATTTATTAAAAATTGTTCTCTATAAGTTTCGTAAGAGACCTTAGCATTTGGATTCGTTTCCTTAAAGAGGTTAAACATTTTTTTTATTGTAAGCTCTTCGGGTAAATAAGTTTTT